CGGTCATTGACCTTGCTGAACACTTGATGAGTACTTTTATTTATAACAATAATATAATAGTATCTAGATAATATAATTACAGTAGAACTCCGATTATCCGGACTAATTAATGTCAAGTTTGGTCCGGATAAGCAAATATCCGGATGATTGACGTATGACATTTTAAAAGTTATTTAGGGACATTGTAACACGAAAATTCACTCGTTATAATAATATAACAATTGACAGACTAAACTGTGTGATGATTAGACAACAACTGACCATTGGGGGGGGAGGGTGCATAGGGGACTTTTGCACCACCGAGTTAACAATTTGAACCCCCAAAATATAAAATACTTATATTTTGATTATTTTGAAGTAAATATTATCAATAAATACAAACATGTTGTAAGTGGGTACTTCACTATTATGTTCCAACATTCCCAGCTAGTATAACACAATAACATAATATCAGTATAATAACAGTATAACATAATATTATGATATAATCTTTAGCTTAGGACCTTTTTTTTTCGTCCGGTTAATTGGACATCCGTTTGATTGGCGTTCGGATAATCGGAGTTCTACTGTACCTATGTCCAAATACAAATGATTGATGAGTATTACGCTTCATTGTGCAATTAATTAAAATATTTTAAATGGATTGTGAACAATATAAAGTTAAAATATATTGTTAGTTTTTATTGTAATAAAGAAACAACATAATTTTTCAATTTCATGTTTTTTTGAGATGCAATATTACTACTATTAAAATAGTTATTTATTTTTAATACTGATAACTGATAAGTGAATAAGTGATAATCATAATTCAAGAGCAATATAAATACTACGATAAGATAATGCTATTCGTGCACTTGTATAGTAAAAATAACAACGTTTTGATCTTGTACGAATAATATAAAAAACTAAACAAACACGTTAATTATAAAAAAAATAAAAATAAACATTTAAACATTTTTATAAAAGGATTCACTCTAGATTTATAGAAAAACACACGTAATAATGAACGAACTTTCAATTTATCGGTGGCTAAATTATGTTTTGATTATGAATTATACGTTTCTTGTATATGTGAGTGAGCTTGTGATAGTGTTAAATCATAACCACATGTCCACATATTAGTTTCTTTCTGCTAGCAATTGATTACACATTTACACGTATTAAAAATTATTATTATTGATCTCCTTGGAACCTAGCTATGGCTTATAATTAATATAAGTCCTTGGTACAAATCAAATATAATATTACTATGCAATTAATGTGTTAAAATTTTAAAAATCTAATTAAAGTAAATAACCTAAAAAGTTAGGTTCGTGGTGACACAAAATATGTAAATTCGTCGTGAGGTGCAGATTAAAACTGTGCGACGACAGTCGATGACGATCGCGGACGGACCGAAATGTGCGATAATATATTGTATTGAAGGCGCAATATCGCGGAAGTGATAGCGCAATGCGTCGAGAATCTGATCGGACGGTCGATCCGGAATAGCATAAAACTGCGCGAAACGCGCATGCCGTCGGACAGGAGGGACGCGCTGTTTGTTGACCATGCTCCTACAGTCCAAGCTATAGTGCGGGCGATTGCGTGCGTTTTATATACTGACCATGCTGTTCTGCACGCAATGCGTTGCTGCTCGCATGCGGCGAAATACAAGCCATGTTTTTCCCCGCATGCGTGCAAACCAGCTAAGACATGGCATACAGACAAAATGACGCGACGTATAGGCGTAATATGCCTATTATACTAGTAATACTCGATAGATTCCGTAAGGAGGTAAGTGGCCCACTCGCTTTCTCCACGGCCGGCCCCCCCGACGGCATGCAGGGGCCATAACCATAAAGATGAGAGTTTATCAATGTCGCGGTAACCACCCGGTCACCGTCGATTCCACGCCACATCACTTTTTCGAACCCATGTCGTTATTTTTATTTTATCTTCACTTGCACTGGCTCACTGCTGTCGTCGCATAAGACGTGCACTAACCGATCGCCGAACACTCCTGTGGCCGCGTCCTCACGGCTACTCTTCATCTCTACGTTCGTTTGCCCGGTGATTATATATTTTGGCATTTTGCGGTGGTGATATGTGGCCAGTGCACCGCAACTGCAGACCATAATATTGACATCTGCACCAACTGTGCCGCCGTGTTCGTTGTATTATTGACACGTCTTGTCCGATGATTATTCTCTTTGGTTGTATATAAGTTTTACAATTAATAAACTATTATATACAATTTTTATTAATACAATTTACTGACTCAGCCACACTGTTAAAAACGATAACAATTTATTAGATCCACTTCGAGGCTTCGAGGCACGCGTTTGTTACTACCATAAAATTACTACGTTTGTGTAGCGTGTATATATACACACCAAAAACACATCGTTATAACTCCTTGTAAAAAAAAAGCTAAGTTAAAAAAAAAAAAATTTGTTATGATTAAATCTTTAAAATATGTGATATAATATGGAAATTAAGTAAAACGACATTTTATAATATTACAAATACCTATGATGACAAATAAGATCAATTGTAATGTTAAATACTTAGTCAACATATTGTTGATACATTGTTAATTACTGTAAATACTGTAGTGATTACTTAGTTATATTTATTTAAGTATACTTCTAAGTCCTGCGAAACAGTTAAACATAATATGTTGACTAAGTATTTAACATTACAATTGATCTTATAATTTGTCATCATAGGTATTTGTAATATTATAAAATGTCATTTTACTTAATTACCATATTATATCACGGCGTCTTTTAAAGATTTAATCATAACAAATTTTTTTTTTAACTTAGCTTTTTTTTTACAAGGAGTTATAACGAAGTGTTTTTGGTGTGATATCAGCTATTTTTTTTTATGAAATAAGTCGCGATTTTATTTGACGGTATATAATAATAATAATAATCCATAATAGCATAATATGTATCGTTGGCCTCTTGTTGTTATAATATCTCTTTTTCTATTTTAGTTTTTTTTTTCTTAAACTATAACATAAATATGATATCGTTACATCTAACCCATATTTTATTATTATGTTTAATAACTGATGTATAATGGGCTTGAGACTTGAGTCATAGATGGACCGTGATGGCAAATCACAGAATTAAGAGCATATGATTTTCCACCGACCTTAATTGTTGCCAAGGGTAATGAATTAATCACTAGATTGCTTATTTTATTTTATTATTGTTCCGAGTTTTCAGCATAATAATATAATACCGTCGCGCTGGATCACGAATTCACTAAACAATCACAGTCGTTGAGTCATCAGCAAGTACCTATTAATCTATATACTATCTTCCTGGTCGTCACTCGTCTGCTGAAACAGTATAATGTAAATACTAAATGTAAACAGTAAATGGTTGCCACTGCCCACTTGCCGGCGACTGGACAGCAGGACAGGTATCCTAGAGACCGCGCTGTTGCAATCGCCAATCGTCGTACGTCGTCGTCGTAGTACGTCGCCGCCGCCGCCGCCGCGATGAGAGTAGTGGGAATGTATAAGCGGCGGGTCGGGGGATATTTACGATATTTCCGTTCCCCGACCCACCACCGCTTATCCATCCCCACTGTTCCGTACGCAAAATCGGTCTTAAAAGTACTTGAACATTTTTGCTTACAACTCAGTGGCGTCCGCAGGATTTTTCAATGGGGGGGGCTTGAAAATTAGTTACAAATTTATTTTTATTTTGTCCAGTCTAAAAATTTCAGACGTTTATTTGAGGTATTTTAAAATGTTTGTAACTTTTCAACTTTTCTGGTAGAAAAAATGCTCATATCATAAGCTTCGATGCCCAGTCCCAGTGTATGTTTTTGGAAGCAAATTGGATCTAGTTGGTACTTTTAGGAGGTCGAAATTGAATCTGCTCAGTGCTTTTAAAAGTACCTAATTGGAGAAAAAAAAATGAAAACTTATTTAAATTGTTTGGTAACAATAGCTTGGTTACAGTGACGTATTTATGGGGGGGATATGGGGGATAGACCCCCTCCCTTACCCATGTCTTTCCATGTATAAAGTACAAACTGCTGCAGTATACTGTTGTTATTTATAATTTTGTTATCCTGTGGGCATGTGAGTGACATTACACAACATTTATTATTATTATATACCTTACATGGAGTAGGTAACTAACAAAAAGTTGCAATAGCACAAAACAAATTTTTATATCCCCCTCCTAAAGAAAATCCTATATACGCCCCTGCTTGGTTATATAGTCCTCACTTGGATTGTATTTGACTAATTAAATTTTTTTTTTATAAATGTCAATAAAAAATTATTTATCCGGTCGAAAAGCTTAAAAATGTAATACGCAAGTTTTTTTTTACATATGCCACTGAAAAAAATATTCTGTTAAGATAAACAAAATGTAGTAATAATAACTGTGAATTCCTGTTGGCTCAGGGACAGCAATATGTATGGTTATGCTTACTAATTCATTCCTGTTAATCAGAAGTTGTAGTAACAACAAATTTGTTCTGTTATTAAAACTGAATGTGATCAGTATTGACAACAGAAAGTATGTTTATTTATGGGTGAACTCAGTATGACATTTACAAAATGTTCAGTTACTACTACTAAGTTATTTTGAAAAATCAACAAAACACTGTGCGGGTTTAACAGAACACTTAAGTAAAGCAGAAATATTTTTTTTTGACTTTACATATTCAATTGTATGTACTACAAATTATTTAGATCGTACAACAAAACTCACTCGTTGAAATTGTGTATCTGATAGTTATTGTAACAAAATTACTTAGTTGTTACAATATTACTATTCAGTTAATACAACTTGGTTTGTGGTTAAATAAAATTTAAAGAAACGCAGTTTTCAAATTAATATTTTTTTTTTATTCATTGACACAAATTAAATAAACATGTTTATTATAATTATTTTACATCATAATATATAAAAAAAAAATATTCAATGCACATATACAATATTAAAAATATACAAAATAATTACAATTGATACTTAGGTAATTATTTATAAAGGACTTCTTACAGTTATAAAATACATTCCATTTGATACAATATTTATAGTATTAGGAATAGGTGATATCAATAAATCTTGGAATATATAACATAAATCATTTATTTCTGGTGATGTTACTTCATAACAAAAAACATGTTCATCAAAACCAATCGTTGTAAATTTACTGCACTCAAAAACTACCCTATTCGGTCCATAAAGAAAAATATCTTTTACAATAACAAAAGTTGGGTTATCCTTCATAATATCTAACGTCAAAATAGTTTTTAGTTTATAACGTGTCCCCTTCACTTCAGCCCATTTAACTCTTATTAATGTTTCAATGTTATCAAGATTTAGTTCATTTTGAATTAGACTGGCTTTAATGGAATCTATTTCTTTTTGAGGTCCTACAATAACTGATTTATTTAATTTACCTTTAGTAAACATTTCATTTAATTGAAGTTGGTGCCTTATTGCCAAAGTCATGCAAATATTTCTTCTATTGAATGATGATCTAGCAGAAATTTTTGAAATCCTATGTTTTGCTTCGTATCTCATGGACCAAAAATTTATGACAGGACCAAATTTTCTGATCATGGAGTGATAATGTGTTAAAAAATGAAATTTTGGTTTGAGATGACTATTACTGTACTTTAAATAGAGTTCATTCATTTCTGCTACTAAGGTTTGTAACATTGAACAACTATCTATCGTCAGTGATGTTGATATTAAAATATCTATAACTCTACGCATAACTATATAAAGTTCCCAAACTGGTTCTTCTGGTGGTATAAAGTCACCAACCAGTAAACCAAAATATCTAATTAATGTCAACATCTCCGAAGCGGATTGCCTAATATTCCCTTGATTAATGTTGTCTAAAGTAAGTGAGCAAGGTTTATTATTTTCAGGCCCAAAATCAAAACCATAAATTCTATCATTCAATACTTGTAAAGTAAAAAGTTTTAACTCCTTAGTATAATAAAGTAAAATAAACTTCATGATGTATTTAGAACAACCTTCAAGCATATCGTGCATGACATCAACTCCTACTTGGTCATACATTGACCACATACTTACATACTTACCACATACTACATATTTTTTCGTACATGCATTTAAAGTTCAAAACAATTTAACCACAGTTAATTTGTAGTTCAAAACTTATAAAATATAAAATATGTATAGCTAAGGCTAGACAATTTAATACAAGGTCTTTCATACAAGTAGTTCATTCTTTTACCGAAAAATTACAGATAATTTATGAAAATTGGTATGCAAATATACAATGTTTTTTCAAAAATGAATTCATTCTGGTAAGACATATATGAAAGTTACGTCTTGCTTACTATAGTTGACAGTTTAAACTTGATTCATATATTTTTTAAAAAGTAATAATAATACGGGCAATGGGGGGGGGGGGCTTTAGCCCGTTAGCCCCCCCCCTGCGGACGCCACTGTTACAACTTATAAACTATCTAACCAATCTGCTAGCGATGTTCCTCTGTTCCCACCTGCACAATATTTATGATCGATTGATACCTCATACGAATTTATATGTTCAGCCGTTTGCCCTGTAGAGCTTGGCAAAGAATTGACATATTATATTAGGACGATTTTTCAATGTTAAAACTCGGTGTCCTGTTATTATACGTTAGTGGCTACTCCGCTATTTTTTTTTACTTAGCTTCGCGCCACTACCGTCCCGCTGGATACAATAATATTATATAAGTACCTACTAAGTACATCAACAGCAACCGATCTTGATCCAAATTGCTTAAAGATATTTTGTCAATTTGCGTCTCATATGAAGTATGAACCAAATACATCGATGTTCCTGTTAGACCAGGTACCATGGTACCTAGCCAGTGTTCCATACGCTGTGATAAAATTTAAACGCAATGTTCGGCCATGGATTCCACGATCGGAATTTCGGGCTTCACCTATTTACCTATATAATAATAATATTAATTAACAACTATTAAACATATATACCATGATATTATAATTTGTTAACATGAACTCTGAAATAAGAAGTTAATTGATCATCGATTATTCTCATTTTTTTTTGGTGGTTCTTCTTTGTCCTGTAACATACTTTAGTAGGTACAATTTTGAGTTGGTGGCTGCTATACAAAAATATAAAATTCCAATAATTAAATGTGTACAAATGTACAATATAACTCTATAATAGGGATTAGTGATGTTATAAATAATAAAATAATAATTGTTTTACACAAACTTTTAGTTGATCAACTAGCTTCTAATTTGAACGGATATGAAAAACAAAAAATATAATTTTATTATTTAGGTATCCACTACATTACTATAGAGGTATATAATAGTACATTTAATTATTGGAATTTTATATTCTTGTACCTATAACCTATAGCGCAAACGCAAAATGGTATGTATCGGACAACGATAAACCACCAGAAAAAAATCGATGATCAATAAATGAACTTCTAATTTGAAAGTTCATGTAAACAAATTATAATATTATGGTATATGTTTAACAGTTATTAATTAATATTATTAGATACTATATAGGCAAATAGCTGGTTAAGCCCAAAAATCCGATTGTGAAATCCATAGCTGTGCATTGCGTTTCAATTTTGTCACTCCGTATGAAACATTGGCTAGGTAACAAAAATCGATGATGAAGATCCGTCATCGGAAGATCTTTCTTCAAGAATCTCGTGACATGTTCTTTCAAATGATGAAAAATTAGACATTATCTTAGTCATATACATGATACGTGTTTAACTTTTTAGTTTGAATTTTCACAGTGAATAACCTGTGCATAAAAAACAGTTGTGCAGCGTTTATGATGTCGGTAGGTATTCAATCTTATAATAAAATAGGTTATCGATTACACCATGGTTACGTGTATTATGTAGATTTAATATAATATTCTATTCAATATTTCTAGGTATATTTCTTTATTGCCGAAACGTGGTTAGGTACACCCCATCTTTAGCCCAACATAATATACCGATCAAACAAATATAGCAATACTGTTTCTTAGAAAAAAAACTCTAAATTACTCGTGGATCTATACTTGGGATAGACTTAATGGCATTTTAGTTTTAATATTTTACCTCTAAATTTGATTATAATATCAGTCGTTTAAAAAAATTATTGAGTAATACTAATGGGATTATAAATTAAGTAAATTATAATGAATAAATTAAAAACGTGGTAGAACGTTAACGTCGAATTAAAATCAATTTATACAAGTGTTATTGTGTTATCCTAGAAAAAGATCAATATTGTTATGATGCAAAGTCAAACATATATTGATACAAATATTGAAATATCAGATACCTATAATACCTACTAAAAACGTACTTGCGAGAGGCATGTGTATAAGTGTGTTAATTTTATGTTTGTTACATAGATAAAATAAAATTTTTCATTTAATCTGTGGTTATTACTTGTTGGATGACACATCTATATAATACACTATATATGTCTATATAGAAACATAATAAGGAATCCGTGGATTATAATTAATATAATCTGGAATTGTTACGATGTGCTGCAGAATAGTTGAATCCCATTTAAATGAGTTGATAGCATTAATGTATTTTTTAAAGTAGTATAGTACCTACCTATAGGTTATACTCATCGATAAAATAATAATTTATAATACATATCATACCATAATATATATAAAATTATAAATTATAATATACCTATTACTATTATTATTATTTTTTCATTAATTAACCCGTGGCAACTTAGGCCATTGGGTGGTTTTTAACTGTGGGGGAGGGTACTGTCGGTTTGTAAACACGTGTGTTTTAGTTTGGCAGAATTTTCAACTGGGCACCAGTAGGTATGTATCTGCCATTCCCTGGTGAGGGATGGCGGGCTCTCTATCCAGACACCGTGACTGCCCAAAGAGAAGTACCGCCCGTGGCCGGGGTTCGAACTATGATATTATTATTAAGTTTTTGTAACGTACAAAACCACAAGTTCGAACCGTATCGATTGTAAAATAATAAGTCAACCCTTCTTCGCAATGACCACCGTTATGATATAGTATATTGTTTTACTGGGTATGTAGCCACCTAGGTACTTATAAAGAGTCCAACAGGTAGGTCATTAATGACTATATTATGTTTTACTGTGAGGGATCCGTCACAATGGCTGCAGTAGGGTTGTTTTTTCTTTTTTTATTACAAACATAAAGGTTCATACGGGAGAGTTTGATGTGTCCGATTCTAGTTCTTGTGGTTATTCATCTGTCATCATAATATTATATTTATTAGATACGCAAATTTAGTAAATAGTATAAAATTAGGTAGGTACCATATTATATAATATTATGTAACATAAACAATGCTTACTCGGCGAAACCAAATATACCATTTAACAAAAAACAGAATATTTTTCAATGTTACAATTTTTAAAAGGGGGAAGAGGAATAGTAATCGATCTGATATTCTGATGTACACTAGTTGTCATGTGTAACTCGTAATTGAGTAAGTCATAGTGATAAGAGTATGTGTTAAATTTAATTTCAATGATAAATCATTGCATTCGAAACACAGTTCTGAGCCAAGATGGTAAGTCAGATAACTTACCCCAAATGGTCAAATGTAGGTACGGATGTCCTATAACTACTATTATAGATGTCCTATTCCTATACCTACATATGCATTAATATATTATATTATTTATTTGACGTATACCCAGTGGTGTATTGGAGGGTATACGCGGGTATACGTCGTATACCCGGATCCCTATTTTTGGATTTATGCGTATACCTTTACAAAAATTAGTCTTTTATGGGTCGCTTCCAATCTATGACAGAAAATTCAGTCATATTATCACCAAACAAAAGGTAAAAATAATAATAATAAACAAATTAATACAATAATATTTTATTATGACATTAAGTACACTGTCCAAAAAAAGCCCCGTACCCACACGAAGTTCGATTAAATTTTACCCGACTTCGGGTTTTTAAGAAGACGATCGGAAACTGCCTTTAAAATGATTTATAATAATATTAAAATTTTGATATGTTATTAGCATTTAGCATAGATTAATAGATAATATAGACTAATAAATACTGACAAACTGTATATTATTATCTAAAGTTAATTATTATTTAATTAGTATAATATACTATATTATGGAATTATGGAATATTATTCCATTATTTTACTGTACAATTTTTTTTAATTTTGATGGTAAAAAGTTTTATTCTTTATGATATTTATGCATTGAATTAATTAAAAAAAAATAATATATTAGATACTGATAATTGGTACATATTACACACAGTGGCGTATATAATTTCGTGGAGGGGTGAATATAGGGTGACCCACCCATATACACCACTGCATAAACATATTACACACGAAAGGTTAGTGTTAGTAATAAAAATTAACAAATATTAAGTGTAATGATTCAAAGAAGTCATATATAGGTATATTCAACTATTTTTAGGTGCGTATACCCATAAATGTATTTACCAATACACCACTGCGTATACCCATATATTATATAAATCTCGGAGATGTATTCTATACCTATTTCTATATATATACATTACTATATATTATTATATAATAGTAAATCGCTTATTTATAGTTCGTTACCACGATAACAAACAAACTATTTAAATACCCAAGAAAATAGCTAAAACACTTGTACGGCCATTGGCGCCGTCGTGATATAGAGATGTTTCGGTTAAATAAGCTACCCGACAGCCAATATCCTCTGAAGCTGCTGATAGTAAGAGTGTAAGTGTTGTCGGTGAGTTAGATTAGACCCGGGCATCTCTTTTTCACATTTTATCTTCTTTACGTTTTTTCTAATGGCTATTCAATCCGTTCTAAGAGAAACTAATCGATATTTTAATCAACAAGTATTTCAACGTCTTGGTTCGATCCCCGGCCGATAGCAAAATTTTTGCACTATTTTTTATTTTTTTTATTATTTTTTTATCGATTGCCATAAAATAACACGTGCACGTAAAACATGTTCATTAGTCATTTTATTTGTTAAGCATTATTGATTTTTATCCATAATATAACAAGCCGTTTTAGGTTTATTTT